TATATGTTTCATCATTGCTACCCTGCACCCTGATTGGCTCGTCTCCTACCCACAACCCTTCAGTAAGGGGGTGTTCAGTTACCTACCGATGGACTTTGAGTCTCCACCCTGCACTCACCCACCTTTACAATGATATGATTTTTTGTTCTTTGATGCTTGATACCTGATCCCTTCGACAGCTCGTGGTCACACATGCTGATGTGCTTGGAAGAGATCAATATTTATACTCATTCCAAAGAAAGGTGGCCCAACAGAATGCTCAAATTGTAGAACAATATCAGATGCAAGTAAATCTGGCTGAAAATCATCTAACAATGGTTGTACCAGAACACTAACTGGGAACTGCTAGGTTCAGGCCAGATTCAGAAGAAGACGTGGAACAGGGGGTATCATTGCTGATGTCAGAAGGATGTTGGCTAAAAGCAAAGAATACCAGAAAGATGTTTACTTGTGTTTTATTTACTATGCTAAAGCTTTGACTGTGTGGACCACAACAAACTATGGAGAGCTTTGAAAATATGGGAATTCCACACCACTTCATTGTGCTCATGTGGAATCTATATATGGATGAAAAGGCAGTTGTGTGATCAGAATAGAAGCATAGTGCATGGTCTAAAATTAAGAAAGGGTTGTGTCAGGGTATCCTGAAGAAATCATAAGAGAAGCTGGGTTACATGAAGAAGAATGTGGTATCAGGTTTGGAGGAAGGCTTATGGACATCCTGGGATATGCAGATGACACTCGTTGCTTCCTGAAGAGAGGAGGGATGAAAGCAGTTGCTGATGAATCTCAAGGATTGCAGTCTTCATTGTGGACTACAACTCAATGTAAAGAAGACCCAAATCTTCACGACTAGATCAATAGGAAACATGAGAGGATTCGGGGGAAAGATTGAAGCTGTCAAGGATTTCATCTTGTTTGGATCCACAATCAGTGCTTATGAAAATAGCAGTTGAGACATCAAAGGATACATTAAACTGGGTAAATCTGGTGCACAAGACTTCTTTAAAGTGATGCCAAGCAAGGATATTACATTAAGAACTAAGGTGTATCTCACCCAAGCCATGGTGTTTTCTTTCCAGATGGGATACACTTCACATGCATACAGTTTAGTCGTTCAATTACATTAAGAAAATTTGTGTAACCATCACCGCAATCAATTTTAGGACATTTTCTCCTTGTACTCATTATCGTTAGCACCTCCATCTCCCCTCCACTCCCCTGCCATGCCCCTAGACGATTATCAGTCCATTGAGTGTTTCTATAAATCTACCTATCCTCAGCTTCATAGATAGAAAATCATACAAAACACAAACAGGAAGCAAGCAAATAATCAAACGGACAAAAAACACAAAACTCAACAACTAGACAAAAGCTAGCAAAATCTCCTTCAAAAAGAAAGGATTAAATATTAAAAACTTAAACAACTTTAAAATGGGCCTAATCAAACCAAAACCAAACTCACTGCCATCGAGTCAATGTTGACTCATAGCGACCCCCTGTGGGTTTCCAAGATCGTAACTGTTTATTGGAGTAGAAAGTCCAGTCTTTCTCCCACGGAGATCCTGGTGGTTTCAAACAGGTAACCACTAACCCACCTGGGGTTCCTAGAAAACGGATCTAGAGGGAAATCAAAGGATAAAGTATTTCCTTTTGACCTAACTACATTGGCCATAAATGACTTTACAATGTTTTGTCTGATAGCAAGATCAGTCCCATCCAAGACAAATGTGCATAAGCAAATGTGGTGAAGAAAGCTGATGGTGCCCGGCTATAAAAAGATATAGCATCTGGGGTCTTAAAGGCTTGAAGGTAAACAAGTGGCTATCTAGCTCAGAAGCAACAAAGACCACATGGAAGAAGAACACCAGCCTGTGCGATCACAAGGTATTGAAGGGATCAGGTATCAGGCATCAAGGAACAAAAAAAACATATCATTGTGAATGAGGGGGAGTGCAGAGTGGTGACCCGAAGCCCATCTGTAGGCATCCCTTACAGAAGGGTTGCAGGGAGGAGACGAGCCAGTCAAGGTGCAGTGTAGCAACAATGAAACATAAACTTTCCTCTAGTGCTTCCCTTCCCCACCATTATGATGATCCCAATTCTACTTTACAAATCCTGCTTGACCAGAGGATGTACAGTGGTACAGATAGGAACTGGAAACATGGAGAATCTAGGACAGATGATCCCTTCAGGACCAGTGCTGAGGGTGGCAATACCGGGAGGGTGGAGGGAACATAGTGTAGAAAGGGGAAACCGATTACAAGGATCAACATATAACCTCCTCCCTGGGGAACAGACAACAGAGGAGTGGGGGTAAAGGGAGACGTTGGACAGAGTAAGATATGATAAAATAAAAATAATTTATAAATTATCAAGGGTTCATGAGGGAGGGGGGAGCAAGGAGGGAGGGGGAAAATGAGGACCTAATGTCGGGGGTTTAAATGGAGAGAAAATGTTTTGAGAATGATGATGGCAACAAATGTGCAAATGTGCTTGACACAATGTATGTATGTATGGATTGTGATAAGAGATGTACGAGCCCCCGATAAGATGATTAAAAAAAAAAAAGACTAATCCCATCCTTCAACTTGTGCTCCCACTGTCATCCATAGCATTCTGCAAACTGGATGACCACAATTTAAACTTTGATCCCATTCCCTCTGTCAGAATGGATTTTGTTATCTACAATCCTTGGATCACACAGGCTGCAGTGCTTCCTCCATGTGGACTTAGTTGATACCTCATTGAGATGGGTGCTGGTTTGAAGATAAACTTTTGAACACTAAAGGCTGTTTTTTTCTGATAGCCAGGCACCATCTTGTTTCTTCACCACACTTAAATCCTGGTATTTTCACTGTCCTCCTCTCCATCAATGTCCTCATCAGAATAGACTCACAGTCACACCACGTGAATCTCTGCAGAACCAGACTGTCACACCTTGTTCCCACGGAGTAGCCAGTGGTTTCAAGGCACCGACCTTTCTCTTAGCAGCCAAGCATTTATCCGCTGCCCAACAAGGCAAGTGCTTCCTCATGTCTGCACTTGTACGTAACCTTGCCTGAGAGAAAGATGAGGCTCTATGCCAGGAAAGAGTTCCAGTCTGGGAAACACACAGGGACAGTTCTACGCTGAGTGATGGGGCCGCTGTGACTCAGAATTGACTCCCACAGTGCGTTTGTATGTTTGTTTACTTGTGTTCTACCAATTCCCAATGGCCACCTGGAAAGCAGCATTCCCCAATCTTCTATAATCTGCCTGCATTCATACTGGTATAAATACACACAATCCTCTAAATGAGCCCTCTACCTCATGCCACCTCCTGTCCCCCTGGGACCGTGGGGCACTGGTTTCACTGCTTGTCCTGGCACAGGCACAATGTGATATGACGCACCTCTGTCACGGAGCATCTCCAAGCCTTCCCCAGGTGCAGGCCAACGTCAAGTTGAAACGCTCTGTGGGATGGGGAAGATGAGGTGAACACTCACCCTCTTCATCTGCATGCCCGTTACCAAACTTCGTGCTAACAGTTGGACCTGAAATACTTTCTTCTATTTCTTATATTCGGGCTTAGGCTGGCAGGGTCGTCAGCGGTGTGGCTCTCCTTCCCTGTGGCCTCCTCTGGAGACCCTGCTACTGCCAACAATGCTCAGCTCACTATCAGAGATCCTCTGGGCCCCACAGTCTGAGAGAGGATCACAGGAATCTCACAGTGAAACCCCGTGTTCCAGAGGCAACTACCGAGGAGGGTAGCACAGTCCATGAAGCCAAAGGTAGGTGGTTTGAATCCATCCAGTGGCACCAGGAAGAGCAGCCAGACCATCGGGTTCCAACAGGGTGGCAACCAACCAAACCCAGCAGAGCAGCTGTCGTGGAGAACGCAGGGGTCGCCAGGACTCAGAATTGACTGGACAGCCATGGGGTTGGGACTGGGTTGTAGCTCAGTGCAGCTTGCACTCAAAGAGCCCTGTCAGCCCCTCTCTTTGCTCTCATTTGCTCTAATGGATACCCTTGGTGGCCGCTCCAGCAGAAGAGCGCCCGAGAGAGACTTTGCCGCTGGCTGAAGAGGTGCGGCTGTAGACCAAAGTCGTGTCCTTAATGTTTTCAGCTCCTGGCTTGTGTTCAACTCTTCCTGTCTAATAACCCCCCACAATCAGAGTGCTGTGAACTCTGGACGGCCACTGCCACGGGTTCTGAAACCCAGTGGAACAGGAGAAGGAAGGTCAGTCCGTGCCCCGGGGGAAAGGTTGGTGTCAGAAGAGGATAGAAGCGGGATGGAGGGTCTGGGTCTGCCTGACCCCTGCCCTGTCACAATCAGCCTTGGGGTGGGGTAGGGGGATCCTTTGCTACCCACGGATGCCAGAGGAGGTCAGGGGTGGCCGGCACCCTCTCTGCTCCTTTGCTCCACTGGATTCCTCTCCCAGCAGAAGGCAGCCACAGCAGGGCATTTCTGGGCCCGATTCTCAGGCCACGTGGGCTACTCATCTGATTTCCGGTTGGGTGAAGAGTGACGAAAGACGGTCTGTCTGTGTGCGCTTCCTTCCCTTGTTTGGAGGTCAGGAGTCAAGCCTGTGGGGCGCACCAATAGGAGGGGACCTTAAAACAGGGCCTGGTAAGAGCCCTCCTCACACTCCACAATAGGCATGTCCTTCGGCCCGGGTTCACTCCTGCCTCAGCGTCTCCAGCGCTGACAGACTGACCACTGAGTCATGGCTGCCAGCACACAGGCAACCTGTCTTGACCCATACATTGCGCAACGGGGAAGAATGCCCTGTGCACGGGAAAGCACAGGTGGGCAGTGTGTTTTCTGGGAAGGGTGAGAACTGGGCGGGGTATCCCAGCCACCTGTCTAGCTCCTCCGAACATCCCTCAGGCACCCGCCATCCCAGGAGGGAAGGTTCAGTATAAATACCAGCTGGCTCTCCCCAGCCAGCAGCACCAGCAGCCCTGCTCGGCCTGAAACCAGGTAAGGGACTACCCCAATGGGGATGTTTCAAAGCTTAATCTGTCTGTTGTCTTGGTCCCAAGAAGGTGACCATTTTCTACTGTGGACGTTTCTTTGGTTTTCGGTTTTCCCCAGGGGACAGCTGTGCTTTTGGATAAGTTATAGGCTACCCGAGAGTGGCGATTTGGTCATCACTGGGCTGCTACAGGAGGAATGGGAAGCCAACAGCCAGGCTCTCTGGGACACACAGATTCCAGAGCGGGGTCCATCAGCGCTGGGATCTCTCCTGACCCTCCCTCTCATTGCAGCACCATGAAGCTTCTCACAGGCCTCCTGGTCTGCTCTCTGGTCCTCGGAGTCAGCAGTGACGGCTGGCTTACCTTCATCCCCGAGGCTGCTCAAGGTAAGACAGCTGGAGGAGGAAGGATTGGGCACCTACCTGCCTCCAGGATTCACCTGGAGCCCTGCTAAGGGTGGGAGCCGTCTCCTAGGCTGTGCTGCCCTGTGGGGAAGAACGTTGGAGGCCTCTTCTTTACAGAGTGTAGTCATAGGTTTCTCTCAGGGACTAGCATCATTCCTGCCTGAAAGGTACCCTACATCGGGGAGAAGCCACAAAGTGAGGCTAGAAATTGGTATGACTTTTCCCTCCGAACAAATCATCTGAACTAAAATGACAGCTATCCCTTACACTTTGCTTCTTCCTCCCTCTGCTTTTCTCCTCCCGCCCTGTCTCCCCCTGCTTTTAGTGTCCTGCTTGGATGATTGACAGGAAACCTCAGCCAGACTCTTCTTGCTGCTTCCTATGGACAATGACTCTCTTCTGGTTTGGGCTGCATCCAGGCCTGTCAGCCTTTTAACTGGCAGCCAGGGGGAGCCACCTTACATCAGGCCTCCTGGATTACCTGCTCACTGGAATGTGGGTCAGGTGTTGGGCTACTGACTGCAAAGAGGGGAGTGCAAATCCCCCAGATGCTCTGCGGGACAAAGCTGGGACATGAGGCCTCAGAAACCGCACACAGCGTGGAGAGGAGTCAGAATGGCCTTGACGGCGGGCGTTTAACCACCGCTTGTCAGGTCTGAAGACTTCCCCTAACTGGGGTGGCTGCTCACACTCTACATGAACTTCAAACCCCTGGGGGCAGGCATCTTTGCCATTTTCAAGGTCAGGAAGGTGGGCCTTGGAGCAGCTGAGTGGGTTGTCCAGTACCTTTCCATTAATCCACTGGTGACAAGGAGAGGGTTTGGACCAGCTGTGCACGATGCAGAAGTTCTGCCCAGCAGATGCCCAGGAATGCCTATTGCTAAAGCACAGTAGTTTTCAACTCAGCTACCCCCTGCAATCACCTGGAGAGCCTTAGAAAAGACTCAAAGGACCACCCCAGAGGTGGCCCCCATCCAGGCAGAGCATTGATAACAAACACAGTGCCACCCAAGCTGAGGACCTGCTATTGTGCTGCCCGAGCAACTCGCTTCATGACTCCCATCCATGATGAGAGCCTTCAGGGTGATGATCACTCATGTCCTGATCAGTCACAGGGCCCAAGTCAGCCTGTGTCTGCAAGACCACGTGTCTTCAGCATCAGGACAAAGTGCCCTAGGTCTCCTCTGCAGCCTGTGTCCCATCCTGTTTCCTACATCAGCAGCGCGCTCTGCTCTCACAGTCTCTGCACCTGATCCCATGTGGCCCTGCTGGGTGGAAGTGGCTTTCACTTGTCCCTTGGGACATTGAGCAAAGTCGCCAGTCCTTTCCAGTGCTCACAACTTGAGGGGCACGTGCTACTGCCATCTAGTGCATTGAGGCCAGAGTTGCACCTGAACTTCCTAGCCTGCACAAGGCAGCCCTGCCCAGCAAGTCAAGCAAGTGATCTTTGTGCCTGACCCTTGTGCCAGTGCCTTCCACTCCTTAGCACATCACAGGGAACCCGAATCCAGATGGACCACTGCACAGTGCTCAGGCATCCAATCTCAACCGCAGGGTGCCCGCCTTTCTGCTCCTGAGCACTTTTCCCTGCAGAAGCCAATCAGGGCTGAGTGGGGTTTTTTCTCAGACCCTGTTGTGCCAGGAGATGAGCCCAGGTTGAGATCTGAGGTCAGGGGAAGATTTTCATTCCTGGAGTCCTGTGCAAGGTGCTGTCACAATGTCTGTGTTCATATGCTGTCTCTCTTGCCTTTCTCCGTTCCTCCAGGAACTTGGGACATGTTGAGAGCTTACAGGGACATGAGAGAAGCCAATTACATTGGTGCAGACAAATACTTCCACGCTCGAGGGAACTATGATGCCACACAAAGAGGGCCTGGTGGGGCCTGGGCTGCAAAAGTGATCAGGTAACACAGATTCCAGGGTTGGACGGGGCAAATGTGGGCTCCCTCAGGACTCAGAAAGGGGCACATCCTGGATCAGGGTCCTGTGGGATCTCTGGCCAGGCTGGAGTTGGAGTGGCCAGCAGAGCAGTACAAGTGGTGGGCTGAGTCCTTTCCAATCCCCCCTGTCTGGGTCCCAGGACACTCTTCCTCCTGCCTAAGCGTGACCAGTGTTGGCTGAGCCGGACTGAGCAGACAGGGCCAGCATTACAGCCCCTCTTTCCTGTGGACTCCCACAGTCATCCTGGGAAATGGGGGAGGGTGGGGAGCATGGCCTGTGCTCACCTGCCTGATCAATCTGCTGCCTTCCTTCTGGGCTCCAGTGATGCCAGAGAGACAATGAAAAAAGTCCTTGGCCGAGAACGAGAAGACTGGGCGGCCGACCAGGCTGCCAATGCATGGGGGCAGAGCGGCAAGGACCCCAACCACTTCCGACCTGCTGGCTTGCCTGACAAATACTGAGCTTCCTCCTCCATTGCTTCAGGTTGTGAGACCTGAAAGCAGGGACACAGCATTATCAGGGTCTATGACCCCCGAATCTAGTAAAGGCCACATCGCAGGTGCCCAATAAATGCTGAAGAAATGGAATCCATTGAAGAATGTGTGTCTGTCTTCATGGTCAGCACTACCTGTGTGGTCTAAGGGTTGTGGAAGCGTGCTAATGAGAAGGAGGAGCCTGGCCTGTGGGTTAGCACCTACAAACTTCTCTGCAGGCTTGAGCCTGCCTTTGTGGGTTTCTGAGACTATAAATCATTCTGGTAGTAGAAAGTCTATTCTTTCTCACAAAGAGTGGCTGGGGACAAAGTTGGGGGGAGTTAAAAGTGCTGACCTTGAGGTTAATAGCCCAACATAAAAAAAATAATTTTATTGGGGGATATGATAGCTCTTATCTCACCCATCCATCCATCCATTGTGTCAAGCACATTTGTACATATGTTGCCAACATCATTCTCAAAATATTTTCTTTCTACTGAGCCCTTGGTATCAACTCATTCCCCCTTCTTCCCCACCCTCCTTCCTTCATGAACCCTTGATAATGTATAAATTATTATTTTTTTCATGTCTTACACCAAATGCTATCTTCCTTCATCATCTTTTTTGTTGTTTGCCCCCAGGCTGTGGGTGTGGGTGTGGGTGGGGTGGGGATTATATGTCTATAATTGTGATCAGTTTCCCTTTTCCCTCCCCCACCTTTCCCCTATCCTCCTGAGATCACCACTCTCATTATTGCTCCTGAGGTGTTTATCTGTCATGGATTCCCTGTGTTTTGAGCTCTTATCTGTACTAGTGTACATGCTCTGGCATAGCCATATTTGTAAGGTAGAATTGGGGTCATGAGAGTGGGGGGAAGGAAACATTAAAGAACTGGAGGAAAGTTGTATGTTTCATTGGTGCTATACTGCACCCTGACTTGCTTGTCTCTTCCTTGTGACCCTTCTCTGAGGGAATATCCAATTGTCGACAGATGGGCTTTGGGTCTCCACTCTGCCCTCCCCTTCATTCATATTGACATGATTTTTCATTCTGGGTCTTAGATGCCTGATACCTGATCCCATCGACACCTCGTGATCACATACCTGGTTAGCTTCTTCCAGTGGAGTACCCCAATACTGCATGAGGTCAAAGGTGATAAGAATTCCAAATAATGGGGTCCCTGAGTGGGAAATATCCAGGCCTTTTTAGTTCATAAAATAAAAGTTCAAGAGGCTCCAATAGATGCGAGTAACAGCTGTTATCCAGAGACAATGATCTGCTTCCTTCCAATCAAGGTATGAGTCCCTGGAGAGAGGGAGTATGTGGTCCACTGAGGATGACAAATACTAATTTAAAAAAATTCTATTGAGCCTTATTTCACATATCATACAATTCCATAGTTCAATCACATAGAGAAGCGTTGTGCAATCATCACCACAATCAACTTTGGAAATTTTTCTTCCTTCTTGTGCTCACTGCTGTTGATTCCCAGGCCCCCACCTTCCCCTTGGTGTCGGCAGGCAATATCAGCCCAGCTACCGTCTTTCTTATTCCATCCATCCCAGTTTTCCTATACAGATAAACATACAACACATGGGCAAACACCGCCCAAGGACCTTGTACCAATGACCATGTAAAACAGGTTAGGAACTCAGTCTAATAGAAAACAGAGAATATTAAAATTTTAGAATAAAATTGGGTCCATAGGGAGATTAAATTAAAAGGTGTTCCATTCCATACTAAGTACAGAAGCTAAAATCCAGTTTACAGTGTTCACCGTCTGATCTTAGGGTTGTTAACGTGCCTAGCCTATGTTCACTGGGGATTCACCAGATCCTGGAAGTGGATTTTGGGCTAATACTATCATCCATCAAACTCAAACTCATTGCCAGTGAGTCAGCTGACTTCTATCGACCCTATATATCGACGATAGAATTACCCCTGTAGGTTTTGAGGCTGTAACTCTTTATGGGAGTAGAAAACCTCATCTTTCTCCTACACTGTCATCCAGAGTTCTCCACAAACTAGGTGTTTAGAATTTAGGCCCTGGCCTGGTCCCATTCCCTCTTCCAGGATTGGATCTTATTATTTGAAATCCCTGGATCTCACAGCCTGGTGTGCCTCTTCCGTGTGGACTTAGCTGACTTCTCACTTAGAGGGCTGCTTATTTCGAGATGACAATTAAGCAGGATGCTGAAGACCTTGGATAAAGCAGAAGGGAGTCAGTCTCAGACGCTGGGCTGGGTGGGGGCCCTGGGGCCCTTCTTAGAATGAGACAGCAGGGGGCGCTGTGCCCGGAGCCGCGTCCGGCGTTCGCGGGACGGACCCTCGCTTCCGGCGAGTGACTTCCGGCGCGGTTCCTGTGAACTCGTCACGGCGGAGCTATGGACCGTAACCCGTCTCCTCCGCCGCTGAGTCGCGAGGAGGAGGAAGACGAGAAGGTGGCCAGGGGCGACTGCGTAGGGAGCACGGTGTACAGCAAGCACTGGCTCTTCGGCGTCCTCAGCGGGCTCATCCAGGTCGGACCCCGGGGCTCGCCGGCTGCGTCTCCGCCCATCCCCCCTCCGTGCCGGGAAAGCCATTCCCACGCAGTCCTCTCCCCTGGCCGCCTGCGCCGACCCCAAAGGACCTGGGGCCGCTCTGGCGCCCCGTTGCACGAAGGCCGGGGTGCTGGCCTGCATGCGGTTACATTTTACTTTTGCCCATTCTGCAGAAACATATGGCCCTATGAATACGTTATTCGTCTTTTCTGCCCCTCGTCTCCAATGGCATTGCCCAGGCCCTAATGATCTGCTTTACGGGCCTTGGAGTAGAATGCGTTGTGGCTCCGGCTTTTGTGAGCAAAAGCCCGGCTTCCTCACCTACTAGCTGCGCCTCAGTTGCTTCCTCAGCGTTTATAAAACGAGTGCTTGCCGTTGTGTTTTCCCTGTAGTAGGCACGCAGTAAGTGTGAGTTCCCGTTTTCCCCACAGTTCCCCAGTCTTGCTTTCAGCCCCTCTTCTCACCAATCCGCCTTTCTCTGCGGCTGCCGCAATGAACTTCCTTTAGGGGTGGAAAAAGCGGCACCAGCTCAAGGAAGGCTCTTGCCTTTACAGCCTTGTCGCACCCTCTGTTCCATAGAAGATAAATATTCACCATGTCCTGAAAGTGTCAGGCCCTTTCTTAATTCTCTGATCGGAGTGCTCCTCTCCCCGTTCCCACCCTGCACGCTTTTCTTCTTTCAAGACTTAACTGAAACTTATTAAGAGATGCTTTCCCCGACAGCAGGAGCTCTGGTGGTGGGTGACCAGTTGGGCTGCTAATTGGAAGGTTCGAAGTTCGATCTCACCAGCTGCTTCTCTCAAGAAAGAGGAGGCTTTCTATTCCTGTAAGAAGGTATAGTCTCAGAAACTCAGACGGGCAGTTCTGCTTAGCCATAGAGGGTCACTATGAGTCAGAATCAACTCAATGGCATTGAATTTGGTTTTTGAATTTTCTTCAGTTTTTCCCAAGCATAGATCTCCCAACACCCGGCCCCCCAACCCCCAACTCCCGCACGCACACGCAGGCACACACACATCCACAAAACCCGAACTCACTGCCATGGAGTCCATGCTAACTCACGGTGACCCTACAGGGCAGGGTAGAACTGCCTCTGTGACTTTCTGAGACAGTAATTCTTTACAGGAGTAGAACGCCCTATCTTTAGCCCGTGAAGTGGCTGCTAATTTCAAACTGCCGATCTTGGGGTTTCCAGCCCAACTGTAACTACTATGCCCACAGGACTCTCAGGCATAGGTTATTGGTCTGTAGTTTTGCTCCCACAACTCTTAGTCCACAGTCCATTTGCATTTCTTAGCCTTTTCTGTCTTGATTGCCAGTTCATAAGTCTTTACTAGATTTAAGCTGCTTAGAGGCTGGGGATTATGTCTTATTTGTACCTTAACCTAGTTCCTATAGGGAAACTTTAAATCCATGAGTGTTAGATCCATCCAGGGTTACATACATGGATATTTACCTCTCTATATATTTTATTTATTTGTTTTGTTGTTGAGGTGTTGAAGCTTTGTTACTATATTTTTAATTAATCATTTTATTGTGGGGGGGCGCCTCTTAAATCTTATGACAACCCATCATTCAATTTTATTAAACACTCTTGTACATATGTTGCCATCAACATTTCCAAAACATTTTCTTTCGATTTAAGCCCATGGTATCAGCTCCTCTTTTTTCCTCTCCCTTCCCCACCCTCCCACCCTTGTGAATCCTTGCTCAATTATATATTGCTGTTATTGCATGTCTTACACTGTCCGTTGTCTCCCTTCACCACTAGGGAGGGGACTAGACATCCAACCTTGTGATGGGTTCCCCTTCTCCACATTCCTCTATCCTCATTGTATTGCTTCTCCTACTACTGTTCCTGAGGGTTTATCTGTCCTGGATTCCATGTGTAGAGAGCGCTATCTGTACCAATGTGTGCTCTCCAGTCTAGCTGGATCTGCAAAGTAGAACTTTCAAAGAGGTTTTTGTAAGAGGAGATACTTGAGGTTAGTGTTTTTGTAACTTCTAAAAAAATTAAGGGCTAATATTAATGTGGCTTTTACTAGTAACATAGATTTTAGTCTTCCCTTTTTCCCTTTGTGTTTCTGAAGGCTGTTAACCCTGAAGACAGCAAATCAGGTCCAGATGAGGAGCAGAAGGTGGAACTTGATGAAGAGCTGGAGAATGACATTTGCCGAATATGGGATATGTCGATGGATGAGGTATGGTGTCAGAAGCTGTGGACTCTTAAACAAGGCGTTCGTTCAGTGTCTGTAATGAACTCCTTAGAATGGAGAGAATGCAGTCTCATGAGTTGCAGATGCTAAGCTCTTTCTTTGAGGGAGAGGATCTGGGCCTAGGTTAAATATATAGCTCGTGTGAATGTTAGACAGTTGACCGCCAGCAAATTATTAATTTTGTTCTCCCCTCCCTACCCTCCTCCTCTCCACCCCCCACCCCATGTCCCTCTTTTTTTATTTAACTTTTTATTGTGAATTGGCTAAAAGTTTACAGAGGGGATCAGTTTTCCATTCAGCAGTTTATACGGATTTCGTTTCAACTCATTGATGATCCCCCCAATGTACCATCATTCTCACCTCCTCCTCGTGTTTCCTGTTTCCACTCTTCCTTTCCTCGTCTGGAATTTCGTCCTTGGTACATGTTGCTCTTTGGATTTCAAATGATTGGCTATTCTGCACACTTCATGAGTGTTACTGGTCTCTTGGTAGACATGCTTTTTGTGGTTGACATTTGAGCCATGGCCATGAGTTGGTTTCTGTTCGTAACGGGTGACCCAGGGTCACACTCTTGGGGGGTTCTACCAGTCTCTATGCAGTCATTCAGCCTGGTTTTCAATGATTGTGGGTGCTGTCCCACCCTTTCCTCCCACTCTATCCAGGACCTTCTAATGCGGTCCCTTTGAGAGTAGTAGTCCATGAACTTTGAAGCGCCCTCGTAGGTGTGTTCCCCAAGTCAACAGTCACCCAGCCTACCTCTCTTTCAGCTGGTCTGGGGGAACTGGCTCATCTCTGAGGCCTTCCAAGTGTGTATTTTAATGTACCCTAAAATTTGGTGGTGATTTGGATACTGGAGAGTCAGAAAATGGATTTTATTTACATAGTTTACAATGCAGATCCCCACAGCTAGCAGACTTAGTGGTTGGTTTTTTTTTAATCACTTTATTAGGGGCTCATACAACTCTTATCACAATCCATACATCAATGGTGTCCACATTTATACACATGCTGCCATCATCATTCTCAAAACACCTGCTTTCTACTTGAGCCCTTGGTATCAGCTCCTCATTTTCCCCTCCCTCCCCCCTCCCCCCTGAACCCTTGATAATTTATAAATTATTATTATTTTGTAGACTTAGTGTTTACACCTGCACTTCTAGGCTAGGTCTGGCCCATTTTGAGTCACGTGTCCCCTCCAGGTTCACCTATGTGGTATGCCCCTTGAGACGTCGTGGACTGGGCTTTAATTTGTGAAGGAGGCGTGCAGCTGTTGTCGGGTGAGGGTTGGGATCAGAATGGTCTTTATACTGAGGATTTTGTGAGCATGAGTTCTGGTTTTTGACATTATTCAATGGGCATTTCCTCCTGTTCCCCGTAGCATGTCTTAAGCTCTTAGATGACAGGAACTAGCCATTTTACTCATTTCTTTTATCTCTAGCTTTTAGCATGAAACCCAGCAATCAGAAAATATGTTTGAATGAGTCAGTAGGAGTTCCTGGTGAGTGGAAGAATATTTGAGGTAAATGAAATCTCTTCAGGGTAGAAAAAGGACAATTCTCTAGTGTATCATAATTAACTTATACTTATTTATGGAGGAATTTCATTGCATTGGGACCTGCTACCACAAAGACTCTTAACATTTTCATCTGTTTACTCAATTCCTAACCTCAAGGGTGTGTGTGTTCGTGTAACCTTGATTGCTAGGCCCCGCGGAGTCCATGCTGACTTGTAGCAGTAGCACACTAGAATGAAACCCTGCCTGGTCTTCCTATTTGTTGACCCTCATTTTCCAGCACTCCTGCAAGTGGCTTTCGTAGCCAGCTGCTTCCTGTGTGCTTTACCACCAGTTGTTTTGTGGGCAGTCTGTGCTTTAGGCACCATGGCAGCTATACCTCCTCGCTTCCCCGCTTCTCCTTCAGTTGTTGCTAGGAGAGCTAGATCCAGCGTTACACCAAGGAGCATTCTGAATGCACTTCTCCCAAGATAGATTTGTTCTTCTACCGGTCTGTGGTATCTTCTTCCCCAAAACCACCATTCAAAGGCATCAGCTCTTTGGGATTGCCTATTCATTGTCTCGCTTTCACATATATACATAGGAGGCAGTAGAAAATATCATGCATTGGGTCAAATCTTAGCTCTCAAAGAGACATCTTTGCCCTGTAATATCTTTGCTCCTTAATACTTTACCGAGAACTTTCCCAGCAAATTTTCCCAGAGCAATATGTGGTTTCTTGACTTCATCCACAGCTGTTGATTGTGTGTCGTGTATCCGAGTAAAGTGAAATCTTCGGCAGCTTCAGTCTGTTTTTCTGTTTATCGTAGTGCTGCTTAGTGGTTCAGTGGTGAGGAGTTTTGTTTTCTCTCTGTTGACGTAAAATCTGTACAACTCTAGTCTTTGATCTTCCTCAGTAAGTGCTTCAAGTCCTCCTCACTTTCAGCAAGGAAGGTGGTGTCGTCTGCACATCACAGGTTGTTAATGGGCCTTCCTTCCGTTCAGGTGCTGTGTTCTTTCTATGGTCCATATGCTTCTCGCATTACTTGCTCATCATGCAGATTGAATAAGGACTGTGAAAGGATGCAGCCCTTCTGCACACCTGCTTTTCCTGGTTTGAAACCACGCGGTATCTCTCTTCTGCTTGAAGGACTGCCTCTTGGTCTGTGTTCAGGTGCCACATGGATACTATGAGGGGTTCTGGACTTCCTGATCCTTCACAATGCTATCCGTAATTTGTTAGGATCGTATAGTCACATGTCTTTGTTTAGTTATCTTCAGCAAAAATGTATGTAAGATCTGAGTTTTTTAATTATTTAAGTTATTGGCTTTTAAGAGGAATTTTATAGCATCTAAGTCAGTAACCATTTTATTCCTAGGATGTGGCTTTATTTCTCCAAGAGTTTAATACCCCTGGCATATTTATGGGAGTATTGGCCAAGTCCAAGTGCTCACGATTAAGAGTAAGTATGCACGTTTCTCTACCTTTTCAGGTAGTGCATGTGTGTTGTAATCTTCCATTTTGTCATTTGTTTGATTTTTCCCCCGTTATAAATCAATACCAAGAAAACTCAAATCTCAGTACCATTGAGTCGATGCTGACTTATAGCTATCCTCCATAGGATTTCTGACGTGATACATCTTTACAACTCTGTCCTGCAGAGCTGCTGCTGGGTTTGAACTGTTGACCTTACAGGTAACAGCCCAATGTCTAATCCAACAGCGCCACCAAGGCTCTTTACACATTAACACGTCAGTCAGTCTGTAAGGTTTACTAAACATCTGCCAAGTACTGTGCCATTTAAAATGAGTACAGTCATCGCCTTTTAGTTTTGGACTCAACCTGGGAGACTGTTATTTGGACTTAACTCTGGAAACCAGAGAAGGGTGTGTAACTTACCCAAGTTGTGCTGCTGCTATTGGGCGGACAAGTGAATAGTGCCTAGAGCTCCCACTGCTAAGTTCATTGTTCTTTTAGCTCACTTTAAGTCTTCCCTTAAAGGTTTCTGACTTTCTATCTAAATTCAGTCTGTGGCTCAAGACCTGCCGCCATCTGAACATGACTAGTTTCACTAGGCCTGCCTGCTTTCTAGGAACGCTGGAGGTATAATGGTTGCAAGTTGGGACTGTCATTTGCAAGGTCAGGAGTTCAAAACTATTAGTCACTCTGTAGGAGAAAGTCGAGGCTTTCTACTCCTGTAAAGAGGTACAGTCTTGGAAACTCACAAGGGCAGTTCTACCCAGTCCTATAGGATTGCTGTGAGTCAGAATCAACTCGATGGCAGTGAGGGAATGAGTGAGTATGTGTCTACTCCCCGTATCAGGAGTTTACTGTGCTCTCTCCCATCTCCGTGCCTCCCTCGATGTACTTTCCAGCTTCTTGAGAGTTGCTAAGAATCCTTCCTAATAAATAAGCTCTTGATGGTGGTTGCTGATAGCAAGAACAATAGACTGTACCTCTCAATTAGTCTTCATGTCCTGGGCACTGCCCTGTGCTTTATTTGCCATCTGAATTGCCTTGTGCTATGCATGTTGTAGGAGATTAGTAGACTGTTAGAGGGTAGGACTGCTCCAGGGAGTTTTCTTGGGTCTCATCTTGCCTGGATGGGTTTGAAGTGCCAACCTTTTGGTTGGTAGTTTGAGCACAGACTCTGTGCTCCATGCAGGGACCTACTTAGTATTTGGTTTTACAACTCCTATCACATAGACAGGAGTCCTGGTGGCATAGTGGTTACACATTGGGCTGCTAAACATAAGATTAGCAGTTTGAAACCAGCAGCCATTCATTGGGAAAAAGACTGGACTTTCTACTTCTGTACAGAGTTGTGGTCTCATAAACAGGGGCAGGCAGTTCTGTCCTGTCCTGTAGGGGCTCTGTGAATTGGCATCAACATGACAGCAATGACTTATCAGGTGTTATCTCTACTTTACAGATAAAAGAACCAAATCTCGGGTTAAGAAATTTGTCCAGGGTTAAACAGCTAGGAAAGAAAGCTGGGATGTGAGCCTAGGCCTGTGAGACTCCTGTGTTCACCATTGTACTCCATTTCACTATGGTAACATGGTGCATCTCTGACGGTGTGTGTAAGTTAGAACTGGGTTCTGTGCAGAAGTAGGTCACCAGGCCTTTCTTCAAAGGCACCGCTCCTCTCTGCCCCTTCCTCTCGGTGCACTGAGTGTTTGTGTTCAAGTGGTTGTTTTCGTGAGTGTGTTTTTATCTCAGAGCTGTTGTGACCTGTAAAATTTGATTTTGTAGGAAATCTGTGTGGGAATTTTAGGCAATATGGCCTGTTTCCAGGAGATATGTGTGTCTATCAGCAACGATAAAAATCTTGGGTAAGTCTTAGTCATAATGATTTTGAATGGATTCATATTTCATATCCCTCAGGAAATTCTAAACCAGGGGAAAGATAGAAGGTTGTGGGACAGCCTCTCGTGTGATGACTGCTTTCTAGCAGTTTGATTGGGTATTCGTGGTATTAGGCTTCCTCAGGTTGTAGACTTCAGCCAGGGTTTAGGCCTGCTTTCTTTATCAGGAGAAAGGGGACCTGCGTTATATATGGTAATAGCATATACAAGATAAGACATAATGGGGCACAGCTGACCAGATCCAAAACAATTTATAAAATACATGATTACTGTATATACTAGAGTATAAGCCAACCCAAATATCAGCCGAGGCACCTAATTTTACCACAAAAACTGTATTAAAAATGTGCTGAAAAACTCGGCTTATACACAAGTATATACAGTCCCTCTTTAGGTGTGGGGGCACTTTAAGATCCTGGCTCAAGGTATTCTTCAGAAATAAATAATATTCATGGAGTAAATGACTCAGGGTGTATGTTTTGTTTCTGGAATTCCATATAAAAATCTGATTATGAAGAATATTAGCCAGCTTTATAAATTGGGAGGGGTGACTTATTCAATGCTTATCTTCAATTGAATCAGTAGAGAACAGTTTACATAGCTAAGATAAGAGCACTTCCTGGAATAGCCCCAATTACAATGTAGCCCCAATGTCTATCAAGAGTCAGCCGAACAAATAAATTGTGTAATGACAGAGTGTTCTACAGCAGTGAACCAAAGGACAGTAACTACAGAGAAAATAACGGGTGATTCTTATAAACATAATGTTGAGCAAGCAAACTAAGCTCAAATCAATATACTCTGTGAAATTCTGCTTATGTATAATTCAAACATAAGAAAACCAAAGTATAAAAAATAAGTTTGTACGAGCCAGCCAGGGTGCAATATAGCAACGATGAAACATACAGATTTCCTCTAGTTCCTAAATGCTTCCCCGCCCCCACTCCCCACCCCCCACTATCATGATCCCAATTCTACCTTACAAATATGGCAAGACCAGAGGTATGTACACTGCTACAGATAGGAACTGGAAACACAGGGAATCCAGGACAGATGATCCCTTCAGGACCAGTGCTGAGAGTGGCAATACCAGTGGGTGGAGGGAAGGTGGGTTGGAAAGGGGGAACTGATTACAAGGATCTACAAATAACCTATTCCCTGGGGGATGGACAACAGAAAAGTGGGTAAAGGGAGATGTCGGACAGTGTAAGATATGACAAAATAATAATAATTTATAAATTATCAAGGGTCCACAAGGGAGCGGGGAGCGGGGAGGGAGGGGAAAAATGAGGAGCTGATGCCAAGGGCTTAAGTGGAGAGCAAATGTTTTGAGAATGATGAGGGGAACAAATGTATAAATGTGCTTTACACAATCGATGTATGTGTGGATTGTAATAAGAGTTGTATGAGCCCCCAATATAATGATTTTAAAATAAAAAAATTTAAAAAACTCAGTCCGTAGAGCAAGGCACGGGTTATTGCTGACAAGTGAAGATGGCTTTCACTTCAAGGTAGGAAAGATGGAATTGTGAGGAAGGGGGACTGTGGAGGGGGACTGTAGGCCTGCTTTCTTAGAAGCCCTGGATTTGCTTTATAATGATAATCAACCGCACATACGTACCGTACAGGCATTTGGCAAGTAGGCTATATTTCACTATAACAGTGTTTAGAAAATGAAATGAAAACTCTGCCTTGATCGTTGAAAGGAGGAAGTGAGGCACATTCGGTTAATGTTTTGTTTCTGTAGACAGGTATTATTGCACTGCTTGTATGATTCCGACCCTCCAACTCTGCTGGAGATAAGTAGGTACGTGTGTCTTTCTCTATGGGTTTCATATACGCGACTCGGAAAAGCATCTAGGAAAACAGTTAATTCTTGATGTGAGAGCGTTTTACTTGCCTGAATTTCTCTTCCTGTCATTGAAAGATAGCAATTGAGCTCATGTTTGTCACGTAGGTTGTTGCTTACTTGCCTTTCCCAGACTGAAGTGGCCCATGTCTGGGTTGGAAGGATTCAGGAATACCCATCTATATATGATAGCATTTGCTTCATCATGGCAAGTTCAACAAACGGTAAGTCACCAGGGCATCGAGAAGAAAAGAAAGTTTCTTTGCTTACATTTAGTTGTTGGGAAATGAGAAAACTAGTTCTAAAACTTGTTTTAATTTAAAAGAGAACCAAATTAAGTGCAAAGTGAAAAAGGATTTTTATTCCTCAACTCATTTAAAAATGAAAGACAACTGTTCATTTAAATGTCGGAGATAAGAAAAATGACCCTTGTAATAGGTGATGCATTGTCTGCTCCCTGAGGTTTTATATCCAGATAAGGGTTGGGAAACTTTGGGGATTTAGATGAACCACTTTCTTTTTTAGCTTTTTGTTTTTCACTTCAAGATCCATTTTGTTTCTGCAGTTGACTTGCTGGTGAAGATAGGGGAGGTTGTGGATAAGCTCTTTGACTTGGATGAGAAACTGATGTTGGAATGGATTGGAAAGGGGAGAGCTCAGCCTGGGGAGCACCCCCAGCCAGATTCTGAAGAGCAGCAAGTGTGTAGGCTTGTGCCCTGTGTCCTTGAAGCTGCCAAACAAGTGCGGTAGGTGGACTCTCCGTGCAGGGTGTTGGGGGAGAATTAAGTTACCACAAGTGTTCTCAGATATAAACATTTCCTTCTGACAGGATAAGTAGCACAGGCCTTTGCTTGTTATGGTACTGAATTTGTAATGACAATGCATGTGTTCCTTGCAAGAGTCATAGTAGTTTAAAAAAATGCAGGTCGAACATGAATAGTAGGACAGGAGGAAAGTAAAAGGATATAGAGCAGTGGTTGTCAACCTTCCCCATGCCGGGACCCTTTCATACAGTTCCTCCTGTTATGGTAACCCCCAACCATAAAATTATTTTTGTTGCTACTTCATCACTATGATTTTGCTACTGTTATGAATCGGGGGACCCCTGTGACTCCAAAGGAGTCACGACCCACAGGTTGAGAACCACTGATATAGAGGAAAGAACTAGGAGCCAATATACCTCTATAGAGGTGTAAGTATAGGCATGTATATACGTAAATATATTAATATATAATGATAGGGATATAGGTCTATACATACAGTTATATGTTAAGTATTAAGGTAGCAGACAGACTTTGGGCCTCTACTCAAGTCCTCCCTCAAGACAAGAACACCTTTTTTTTAATAACCTGGCACTCCGTGATGCTTACCTTCCCCACATGACTGCTGAAGATAAAAGGGGTACTTAAGCAAAGGTGGTGAAGAAAGCTGAAGTTGCCCGGCTATTAAAGATAGCATCTGGACTTTTAAAACGCTTGAAGTTAAAACAAGCGGCCATCTGAGCAGGGAAGCAGCAAAACCCACATGGAAGAAGCAAACCAGCCAGTGTGCTCACGAGGTCGACAGGATCAGGTATCAGGCATCAGAAGATACAAGACAATCATTGATGCCAACAAGGGGATCAGTGTAGAGACCCAAAGCCCATCTGTAGACAATGGGACGTCCGCTCATAGAAGGGCTACAAGGAAGGGATGAGTCAACCAGGGTGCAGTATAGCACCAACATAACACACACATTCCTCTAGTTCTATAATGCTTCTCTAAATACCTCTCTCCCCATCATGACCCCAGGTCTACTTTACAAATCCGGGTAGACCAAAGCATGTACATTGGCACAGATACACACAGAGTACAGGACAGATAAACCCTCCAGGAACAGTAATGGGTGGGGGGAGCAAGGGGAACTGATATCAATGATTGATGTATAACACCACCCTGCCCAGGGGGACGAATAACTGAAACATGGGTGAAAGGAGACAGCGGATGGTGTAAGACATGAAAATAATAATCTATATTAAAGGTTCACAAGGATGGGGAAGGAGGGTAAAAAGAGGAGCTGATACCAAGGGCTCAAGTAGAAAGAAAATGTTTTGGAAATGATGATGGCAACATATGTACAAATCTGCTTGACACACTTGATGTATGGATTGTTACAAGAGCTGTAAGAGCCCCCAATAAAATGATTTCTAAAAAAAATAAGTGTTCTGTCATTTAGCTTTGGGCCAATTATTCATTATTAATTATGGTTGCCATGTTAAAATCATTGGCAATTTTGTGTAATTTTTGTAGAAGAGGAATTCTTCGTGTGCTGTTTCATATTGAATATAGGACATCATTTGTTGAGGGTTTTGGGGGTGTGGTGTGGTGGTGGTTCCTTTTGTATGTGCACAAAACTTGGACCAGGAACTGACTTTCGGGTTCCAGTACCTTGCAAAGAGTGACTACTAAGTCATAAAGTGATGGGTTATCATCAACTAGATGATTAATTTAAGCATTGATCTGTTTAATGGTGATTACTATATTGTTAATGCTTAATAAGCTACACCCAGTGCAAACCTACTGAGTCGATTTCAGCTCATAATGACCCTATGTAGGGTTTCCAAGAGCATAAATCTCTTATGAGTGCAGATGGTCTCATCTCTCCCTGTGGAGCAGCTGGTGGGTTTGAACAGCCGACTTTGCCGCTAGCAGCCCAGTGCCTAGCCCACAGTACTCCCAGCACTTTCACAGTGTCCTACATGTGAAACGCCACAGAGCTAGCCAGTCGAACGGCGAGGCACGGTGTGGTGGTGTTGCTGTGTCTGCATCATAAAAGTCGCAGCCGTTGTTCTGCTCTGGTTAAGTAAGCCGGGAGGCAGGGGCGTCACAAGCACCTTCCTGTGCCCCTTCCTGTAGTGAAGAAGCAGGACCAGAGAGGCATTCCACTTCATGTGTTAGGTGCGGGATATATTTGATACATATATATAGTCTTAAATTATTTCCCCCATACAAGGTCTGGTGAACACAGAGACCTTTTTTTTAAATGGTTGTATTGGCATTTCATCCACGTATCCTACAACTCAATTGTTTAATCATATCAAGAAGAATTTTACAATCAATTTTAAAACATTTTCTTCTTGTACTTGTTATTCACATAATTATTATTATTTTTCAGTTGTGGCAAAAATATACACAACAACATTCTCCAAGCCATCACTTTTATAGAACATAGAGACTTGGTACTGCCCCCTTGTTCAGAATCTCGGGCAGTGGCTAGGATAGGATAATAAACGTTTGTTGATTGAATTATAGATCGAGTGATTGCAGTCTCAACATAAAAGTTGTTAATGCAGTGCTTTTGCTTTTAGTTCTGAAAACCTAGACGGGCTGGATGTCTACATGCATATCTTACAGCTACTAACCACAGTGGACGATGGTATTCAAGCAATCGGTAAGAGGGCCTCCGAGGTTCCACTACACACATGTATTCATGGAATCATCTTCTGCTGTTAAGTGACTATTTTCTGTATCATCTGTTATCAAGTGGAGTGCCCTGATACTGGAAAAGACACATGGAATTTACTCTTTGACCTGGTCTGCCATGAATTTTGCCAGTCTGGTGATCCACCCATCATCTTTCATGAGCAGAAAATGGTGCTAGCCTCGGTTTTCTCCGTGATGTCGACCCTCAGTGCTTCCCGGGGTGACCAGGACTATCTAGAGATGGAGAAAGGCAAGTATCCTTTCAGTTATCTAAATTCAATTCCTGTCCATCAGATTGTAAAGCACAGACTTCTATGTTGTTCAACAGTTTCCTTCCGCTTTCTTTTTTCTTTCCTGAGATATGAAAATATTACAAGTTAAAAAATTGTTTTATGAAAAACAAAAAACCCCAAACTCGCTGCCACCGCGTCAGTTCAGAGTCATAGTGACCCTGTTGACCAGAGAATTGCTCTTGAGCGTTTCCAGGTACAAGAGCAAAGAGCCTCCTCTTTCTCCTACTCAACAACCAGTGGCTTTGAACTGCTAACCTTGTGGTTAGCAGCTCAATGCATATCCTACGACTCTACCAAGGCTTCTAAATCTTTTTTTAAAAATCATTTTATTGGGGGCTCCTACAGCTCTTATAACAATCCATACATCAATTTTTTGAAGCACATCTGTACATATGTTGACATCATTTCCAAAACATTTTCTCTCTATTTCAGCCCTTGGTATCAGCTCCTCTTTTTTCTTCCTCCCCCACCCTCCCACTCTCGTAAACCCTTGATAATTAGAAATTATTTTTACTTTCATGTTTTACACTGTCCACTGTCTCCCTTCACCCACATTTCTGTTGTTCATCTCTGGGGGTGCGGGTTGTACGTCAATCATTGCGATCAGTTCCTCCTTTCTCCCCCATCGACCCCCCACCTTCCCCCTACCCTCATGGTATCGTTACTCTCATTTTGATCCTGAGGGGTTTATTTGTCCTGGATTCCATATGTTGAGAACTCTTATTTGTACCAGTGTATGTACTCTGCTCTAACTGGATTTGTAAGGTAGAACTGGGGTCATGATAGTGATGGGGAAGAAGCAGTATAGAACTATAGGGATGTTGTGTGTTTTCGTCAGTGTTATACTGCACCCTGGCTGGCTCATCCCTTCCTTGTGCACCTTCTGTGAGTGGAGGTCCAATTGTCTACAGATGGCCTGTGGGTCTACATTCTGAACCCCCTCGTTCCAATCGAAATTGTTTATTTTGGGTCTTCTGATACCCGATCCTATGGACACCTCGTGATTACACGGGTTGGTGTGCTTCTTCCATGTGGGCTTTGTTGCTTCCCTGTTAGATGGCTACTTGTTTATCTTCAAGCCTTTAAGACCCCAGACGCTATCTCTTTTGGTAGCTGGGCACCATCAGCTTTCTTTACCACATTAGCTCATTTTTGTCTTCAGAGATCATGTCGGGAAAGTGAGGATCACAGAATGCCGGCTTATTAAAACAAAGAGTTGGGAGGACTTGAGTAGAGGCCCAATGTCCGTCTGCTACCTTAATACTTAACCTATAAATATATGTACATAGAGCTATATTCCTGTAGCTATATATTAATATATTCACATATGTATATGCCTGTGTTTACCTCTATAAATATCTTTTGCCTCCTAGTTGGTCCCTCTATCTCCTTTTGCTTTCCTCCTGTCCCACTATCATGTTCGGCTCTCTCGGCTACATTGCACTTAGATCAAACCGCACCCATTCTATGCCCTCCTCAAGGCTTCTAAATCTTTTTTTTTCTTTAATTCTTGAGGTTTTTAATTGTTTGAGGATAGAGAAAAAATTACTACCCTTAGATTTGGGGAAGGTCCCTATCTTCCTTAGCACAGCACATATCAATAATAATTCGTTAGACATAACTTGGAAAATACCGGGTACTTTTGAAAACCTTAGTAATACATATAAAGGAGATTACTTCTTCCAATACAGATTGGTTTGTTGTTTTACCAGGCCATGGTGCTTTCAATATTCTTCTCCAGCACCGCAATTCAAATGCAGCTATTTTCCTACGGTCTTCCTTATTCATTGTCCAAATTTGATATGCAATGGAGATGACCATGGTTTGGGTGCAGAACCCCTTAGTCCTCAAAGCAACATCCTTGCCTTTAATATTCTTAAGAAGTCTTGTGCAGCAATATGTCTTTTGATCACTTGACTCTTGCCTCCATGAGCATTAATTGTGGATCCAAGTAAATCAGATTTCAAAATTCTTAATGATTTCAACTTCTCAGTTTATCACTATAAGGCTTCTAAATCTTTTTTTTTTTTTTAACATTTTATTAGGGGCTCATACAACTGTTATCCCAATCCATACAAACATCAATTGTGTAAAGCGCATTTGTACATCATTTCTCAAAACATTTTCTCTCCATTTAAACCCCCGACATTAGGTCCTCATTTTTCCCCTCCCTTCCCGCTCCCCCCTTCCTCATGAGCCCTTGATAGTTTATAAATGGGTATTTTGTCATATCTTGCCCTGTCCGACGTCTCCCTTCATCCACTTTTCGGTTGTCTGTCCCCCAGGGAGGAGGTCACACACAGTTCCATGTAATCGGTTCCCTCTTTCCTACCCATTCTCCCTTTACCCTCCCTGTTTTGCCACTCACACCACTGGTCCTATAGGGCTCATCCGTCCCGGATTCCCTGTATTTTCAGTTCCTATCTGTACCAGTGTACCTCCTCTGGTCTAGCCAGACTTGCAAGATCGAATTCGAGTCATGGTAGTGGGAGCGGGGAGGAAACATTTAGGAACTATAGGAAAGTTGTATTTCTCATTATTGTTACATCGCACCCTGACTGGCTCATCTCCTCCCCGAGACCCCTCTGCAAGGGGATCTCCAGTGGCCTACTAATGGGCTTTGGATCTCCACTCCGCACTCCCCCCATCATTCACTATGGTAAGATTTTTTAATCTGATGATGCCTTATACCTGATCCCTTCGACACCTCGTGGTTGCGTAGGCTGGTGTGCTTCTGCCATGTGGGCTTTGTTGCTTCTGAGCTTGATGGCCGCTTGATTACCTTCAAGGGGCTTCTAAATCTTAATGGGAGTAGAAAGCCTTTTATTTTTCCTGCAGAGCAGCTAGCGGTTTCAAACTACTGAGGCCCTTGTTTATTAGCTCACAGGACTTTTTACGTTTATGAGAGAACTATGGAAAGCTTGTCGCGTCTCACTTAGATGTTCCTCTGTGAGCACACACATATATCTAAGTTTGGCTTTCTCGCCACCTTTTTTCACCTTACAATATAAAATGAATTCTTATCTTTGTAGACAAGTGTTCTTTTGCAGATTGATTTCTGTGACTAAAATTAAATCTGTGATCTATTCATCTCCATTGCTCTGTTTATGTGTCATTACCCCCACTTTCAATAAGGGTCTGTTTATTTTTAAAATAATTTTACTGGGGGCTCGTACAACTCATCACAATCCATCCATCCATCCATCCATTGTGTCAAGTATCTTTGTACATTTGTTCCCATTGTCATTCTCAAAACATTTTCTTTCTACTTGAGCCCTTGTTATCACCTCCTCATTTTTTCCCCTCCCTCCCTCACCCACCCTCCTTCCTTCACGAACCTTTGATAATTTATAAAAAAATTTTTCATGTCTTACACTGTCTAATGTATCCTTTCGCCCACTTTTCTGTTGTCCATCCCCAGGGAGAGGGTTATATGTAGATCATTGTGATCGGTTCCCCCTTTCTCCCCCCACCTTCCCCTTCCCCTCCTGGTATAGCTACTCTAATTAATTGTATTGAAGGGTTTATCTGTTCTGGATTCCCTGTGTTTCCAGCTCTTATCTGTACCAGTGTACATGATGTGATCTAGCCGATTTGTAAGGTAGAATTGGAGTCATGATAGTTGGGGGGAACTAGAGGAAGGTTGTATGTTTCATCATTGCTATACTGCACCCTGACTGGCTAGTCTCCTCCTCGTGACCCTTCTGTAAGGGGCTGTCCAGTTGCTTACAGATGGGCTTTGGGTCCCCACTCCACACTCCCCTTCATTCACAATAATAGGATTTTTTGTTCTTTGATGCCTGATACTTGATCCCTTCGACACCTCGTTATCACACAGGCTGGTGTGCTTCTTCCATGTGGACTTGGTTGGTTCTCAGCTAGATGGCTGCTTGTTTATTTTCAAGCCTTTAAGACCCCAGACGCTATGTCCTCTGACAGACAGGCACCATCAGCTTTCTTCACCACATTTGCTTATATATCCACTTTGTCTTTAGCAATCATGTCAGGAAGGTGAGCATCATGGAATGCCAGTTTAATAGAACAAAGTGTTCTTGCATTAAGGGAGTACTTGAGTAGAGGATCAATGTCCATCTGCTACCTTAATACTAAACCTATAAATATATGCACATAGATCTATTTCCCCATTTTCATATATAAATATATTTACATATGTACATGCATGTATTATTATCTTTGCAGGTCTGTCTAGATAAGATAGGCAGGATAAACAATCTGGAGGAGAAAACAACGGGACCGA